AAACTTTTGGTAGCAAAATTTCTTAAATAGGCATCTGTGCTATTTTCCTGAGATAAAGATTACCTAAGAAGTGGGAATTTTAGAACAAAATCCCGCACTCTGGGATATACTATAAATGCCTTGGAAGATGCCGTGAAGTGTGACCTTGGCGGGTGACCTGTGTTTTCTCCTTCTGCAGTGGTCTCTTTTCACCCACTTCTCTTCTTCATCCTGTCTCGCTGAGGAGGAAAAATCAATTGTTCTGCCCCTTTCTGTCCCCACGTGACAGAGCATGTCCTCCCATGCTGTTCCAAGCTCTTAGACGTGCTAAAACCGACATGGTGTTTGATGAGTTCCTGCTTCAGAATTCACTTGGCTTTGTTGGACTTTTGGGTGACTTCAGTCTTCCACCCCTCATTATAACCCGCAAGGATGTATCCTCAACTCTCCTCTTGCCTCCCAGCTATTTTAGTTTTTGGTAGAGTACTTCGGATGAACTTCGTCTTGTGGGGATGAGGATGTTTTGGGGCCAGACGCCCCAGGAGAGACCCCAGCAGACACCACTAGGGAAGGAGAGCTGGGGTCTGGTGCAGCCACGGCAGGAACGGGGCTGAAACCAATCAGCTGAGAGGAGAGAATCAGGGACTTTGGGGTAAACTGTTGAGATGGTGGTGGCCATCTTCCATCCACCTGACGATTAGAACAATAGCGTAAATAAACACATGGTTTGTCTCATTTAAAGGGACAGGGGAGATGGGGAGGCTGCTGGATTTTGGTTCTGAACCCACGTGGGTCTGGCTGTCGGCCCTTCTGCTGAGCTCTCGGCTCATAGTTAACAATCAGTGTCCTGTTTCGATCGGACATCATCCTTTCAATCTGGAAAAGGCAGGCCCACGGCCCTGTGCGGGGGGCATCCCTGGGTGCGATGTCCCTGGGCCCGGTGCCCGGCTGGCCTCCTGGTCCCACCCTGGCCCAGACCCCTCTGCGTCTTATGAGCACACAGCCTGTTCACCGCTAAGTCCTTCACAGCCTGGCCACCGCTGCAAATGGCTGCCACCTGTCAGCTCCTCTCTTTTATCACTGGGCAGCTCGTGCCTGTCCTTGGGTGCCCAGCAAGCTGACCGTGAACGTGCACTTGCTTCAGGTTGGTGCAGCCTTTACTGGTGGGGAGGGGCTGACAGGTTAGTTACAGGAGCACAGGTTGAAACGTGGGGCCAGGCTCAAGACGGTTGTTTCCTTTGGACCAGAAGGGCTGGCCCCGTTCCTCAGGGCGGACCAGTGTGTCCTTTGCTGTTGGAGCGTCTTCTGCTCTGAGGGGGCTTGGACCCTCTGCTGCCTCGTGGGGGCTGGAGAGGACCAGCAGGAGGCTGGGTCTGGGGTCAGTCTGCCCTGTGTCCCCCCGGAGGGGGTGGGGTCAGTCCCTGCTCAGGGGTGCCACTGGCTGATGAGCCTCAGTGCCTGGTTTTACTTTAAAGGAACATGAAAAAGTCAGAGGCTGACACTGCCCACCTCCACTCTCTTGCGTAAGTGGGGTTCACACTTGCCATTGTTTTTCCAAGGGGGAGATATAGGCGGCCTTGGGAGCTGACTGGCCAGAGTCCAATCATGGGCAAGCACAGTCGTTAGCACCAGCTGATGCCTGATCTGGCTGTTCTGACCACCTGAATTAGCTGGTGCATCCCATGAGCCCTTCAAGTGCATGAAGACCCCCGAGATCGCCTCCTGCATTGGCTGGGTCCTGACTTAGGGAAAGAGTGAAGTACATTTGAGGCCTTGCACTTCCTTCCAAGATGGAGTAAAAGCAACCAGTTCACTCTCGCATTAGAAACAACCACAAATAAGGGGAAAACATGAAACTGGTTTTATATACTGGACACCAAGTAATGAAGGGCAATGGCCTCTGGGAGATGGAGAGCAAATGAGGTGAGACCTACAGTTGGCACAGCTCCCCTCCTTGCCCTCCAAGAGATTGCAGGGCCTGGGGGAGGGGGTACTAATGCTCACCTCAGGGGCAGAGATGCTCAGACACCTGCAGATTGTTCCTCTGGAGTCTCTAGTGGAATGTTGACTGACAGATGAAGGTGAGGAAAGAAGCATCAGAAGGATGAGGGCAAACAACTCTGAGACTTGCCTGGCCTGAGGCTCAACCATCTGAGACTCATGCACCTGAGACTCGCCTGGCCTGAGACTCACCTGGCCTGAGCATGTTTCTCCCTGTCACTGGCCAGGATGACATTGGATAAAGAATCAGCTGCTTATGAGACACTAGGAATGGAGACATGTGTGGGTGAAAAGTAAAACATAGGAAAAGATACACTGGGCTGACACTAATCAAACAAAACTTGGACTTTCTATGTTGACATCAGACTCTACAGTAGAGACCATTGACAGTCACTGAATACTCATCAACAGCAGAAAGCTCATCATTTGCAAGTGCACATGTGGCATTTACAAAGGCAGATTCTTCCTTGATTATTAAAATGACACTAAATAAGTAGAAAAAAGGTCAAATCACACAATGTTCTATGACCACAATATAACTGAATTACAAATCAATAACACAGACTTATTGGAAAAATTCCCAAATTACTTGGAGACCAATAACACATTTATAACAACATCTGGGTCCAAGGAAAAATCATAAGGAAAACTAGAAAGTATTTTGAGCTAAACAAAACTGAAAACCAATACATCAAACTCTGTGGAATGCCACTAACGCAGTACTTAGGGGGATTTACAGAACTAAACACCTGTTTGGAACTAAGGAAACTCTCAAATCAATGACCTTGTCTTCCACCTTAGAAGAAGGAAAGCAGATTAAATACAAAGTAAGCAGAAAAAAGGAATAACAATGACCAAAGGAGAAAATCAATGAAGTAGAAAATAGAAAACAACAGAGAAAAATTAATGAAAATCAGGTTCTTTGGAATCAATGCAGTTGATAAATATCTGGTGAGACTAAACAGAGAAAAGAGGGGAGTATCAGAGAGATGCATCACTATAGACTCTACAGATAGGAAAGAAACATTATGATCAATGGAGATTCTACAGCTTGGATGAAATGGGCAAAATCCTTGAATGACACAAACACAGACAGGATGTCTTGTTTGTGTGTATCCCTCCTTGATGGCTTGGTGGATTGATTTTATTTTCTGTAGATTGAGTGTGCAGTTGTGACGTGTGACTGTGTGATTTTGTGAGGGTGTGAGGCAAGAGCAGGGTAGCACCCCCACACCCGCGACTCGGGCTGTGATTCAGACCATGTGTCCCATGTTTGCTCAGCTCTCAACTGAGAGTTGGTTTATCTCAGACCCAGTCCCTGGAATATTCTAATGTACTGACCTGGGTTTGGGGCCATGTAGGTTCTCCTCATGTGCAAACTGGCTTCCCTGGGGCTGAGGTAAGCTGGGATATTTTTGGTTTTGTTTGTGTTTAAGCAAAAGGACAAGTGAATCTGATGCTGGGAAAGACTGAAGGCAGGAGGAGAAGGGGATGACAGAGGATGAGCTGGTTGGATGGCATCACCGACTCAATGGACATGCTTTTGAGCAAACGCCAGGAGATGGTGAAAGACAGAGGAGCCTGGCATGCTGCAGTCCATGGAGTTGCCGAGAGCTGGACATGACTGAGTGACTTGGCATGCATGCACACACAAGTGAACACACTAGGCTTCTGTCCAGGTCCTGACTCCCAGCAGAAGCCGGCGAGTCCTGGCAGGAGGGTGAGGGGACTGGAAAAGGGGCCCTTCCTGTGAGTGGAGTGTCAGGCGGGAGCAGCCCAGGTGTCCCGGGTGAGTCCTCCCCCACCTCCCGCCCCTCCAGGGAGCACTGCTGGAGCTAAGACCTGGTTGCCTGGAGGCCGCGGGCACCTGGTGTGTGTGTGTGTTTAGTCGCTCAGTCATGTCGGACTCTTTGCCACCCTTTGGACTGTAGCCCGCCAGGCTCCTCTGTCCACAGGATTCTCAGGCAAGAACACTGGAGTGGGCTGCCGTGTGCTCCTCCACTGGGCACCTGGATCTGCTCCCAGCCTGGCTATGCAGGAGGGGAAAGCATGGCACTCTTGTGGGCTTGGGGAAGGGACCCGGGCCCAGCTGTTCCCACCTACTGTCTGGTCACAGACCATGAGGTGGCTGTGGGCTGGGCACACCCCGTTTCTGCCGGGATGGCAGCTAGGCCAGGTCTGGGCTCCCAAGATGCCAATCTTGTGCCATGCAGTGCCCGACCACGCCACCCTGCCATGGGTGCCATGACTGCGCGTGGACAGACAGATGGTGTTCAGTGACCTCTTGTCGCTGGACTCACAGTCTTGGCTCTGATCTGCTGCCCACACTGAGGCCCCATGCCGGGGTGACAGCAGAGACCCCCATGTCTGCAAGGTGTGAAGGAGGGGCCCCATCACCCTCTCCCAGCCACCCGCCTTGCCTTTCAACCTGACAAGTAGCAGGTGTGCCATCTGTGATGCTTTCTGGGATTCAAGTTTCCTTTCAGAAGCTCACCTTGGGTTCCTGGGCCCCCCCGGCCTCTGCCCCTCACCCCCTTGCGACCCCCGACCCCTCACCCTGCGGCCTGGGCCCCGCTTCTCCCGGGAAGAGGTCCTCTGATCTCAGTTCCCATTTCTTGGGCAGTGTCGGATCTCCTGCTGAGGGCTGGTTGGAAGGGGCCTCTGGCCCCAACCCCCCACACCCTGGCTTTGCGGGTTGACCTCAAGTGGGTGAGGAAAATGCTTCCTTACAGAAATGGCCTGACCAGTGCACACTGGGGGTCTCTGATCACCGACACCCTGGGCCTCAAGGCGCAGACCTGGGTGAGGGGCCGTAGGATGCCAGGCATCTGGGAGAGGACCCTCACAACCTCCCCAGACATACAGTTAACCTCAGAGGCTGGGGCTCAGACTGCCGCTGCAGGGGTACGGAGTGGGGGAAAGAGTAGGAAACAGGGCCTGCAGGCTCTGCTCTGTGGGGACCCAGGCCCCTCGTTCTCACTGACAGGAGGCAAGGGGGTGGCCCTGGCCATGGTGCCCACCGCCTCTGGGTCCTCACGCTGCAGCCCGGCCCCAGGTGGCTGCCCTTGGGGTCCCGGCCCGCGGTGAGCTCCTGGGGATGTGGCTGCCTGCAGCCCCGGGTGGGCTGCCACTGAACTCCTGGCTCTGGATGCCTGGCCATGACCTGCAGTGCATCTGGGCCAGAAGCGAGGTCAGTGCTGGCCCCGCTCGGCCTCCCGTGCACCCTGGTCTGATGTTTCCCATGCAGTTTAGCAGGGTGGAGGGGCGGGAGCGGTCTGTCGTCGCCTCCCAGCTGCTCCTGGTCTGATGCCGTGGCCTCCATGGGAGGGGTCAGAGTGCTGGGACCAGGGAGTGGGTCCAGAGGGCTCCTGACCCTTCTGGATGCCCACCAGCCATGGGCGGAGTGTGCTGGGAGCTCTCAGAGCCTGTCTAGCTCCACCTCCCCTGGACCCTGAGCTGAGCGAGGCCCTGGGTCCCCTGGTTTTGGCATCCAAAATGGAGGTCTCCCAGAAAACCTCAGGCTTTGGAGGTGGGGGCCCATCGGCGGTGGATCAGGCACCACACTTGGGAGCATGACAGCCCCCAGCAGCAGTGGTAACCAGGAGTCCCAGTTGGGAGTACGGTGGACCCCTCAGCAGCAGTGGCCACATTAGGCTCTCAGCCTGGTGGCCGGGTGGCCTCTGCTCTGACAGGTCCCCTGTGAGGGCTGGGCCTTGGCTGCGCCAGCTGGCTTCATCTGGGAATGTCTGGAGTCACGCGCAGGCCACTCTGTGACTCAGGATGGCCACACTTGCCCGCGGTGGGGGACAGGATGGCACAGGCTGCCCAGTCTGGGGAGCTGCTGACTCCAGGATGTGTTTGAGGAGGGCACATTTCACAGCCTCTGGCTTCAGCAGGTGGATGGTTCCGGCCGCTGTGGGACATTCAGCCTCCACCCTGCCAAGCGGATGGTCAGCCCCATGCCTGTGCCGAGGCACGGGGTAGGGCCCTGGCCACCGTGTGAGATGCTGTGATTAGCTGGCTTTTTCTCACCCAGTGCCTGGTTTAACGACAGAAGCAAATATTTTTTTTTGAAGCTCAGAGTGAGGCAGAGAAATTCATCTTGAAGTCATGTTGCAGAAAGCCACCCACACCGAGGGACGTTCTGAGGAAAACACGGCTCATGGAAACGTTCCCAAGTGAGTGCTGAAACCACAGATGTGTACTTCAAAAAATGCATTCATGTTATTTTTAGAGTTTGTGTTGACAACCATTATATGTGAGCAGAGAGGGAATGCCACAGACATTAACAAAGTGCTGTTTATTTTAGGTTTTTATCCCTTTTCTGCTCAAAAGAACACAGTGAACTGAACGAGTAACATGTCTTCTTGAACTGTCTTGTTGTCCCTGAAACGCTGTAATTTTTCTGGTGACGTCGGAAGCTATTTTGGTTACTGAGGTTCTCAGCTTATTTCCAAAGAGAGGTGACTCCTCCAGGGCCTCCTGTGAGGGTGGTGCCTTCTGCCCAGCCCTCACGCCCGGAATCTGCAGACTTCCCACTTGGCCCCCGTCAGGGACACGAGCTTGTTTCTCCCAGTGCAGCTGAGTACTGCGTGTGCAGTGTCTGGATTTCCAGACTGGATGCATATTTCTTTGGAGAGGAGCTGGTACCTTCAGGAGCTCTGGGCCAGAAATGAGAACCTGGCCTGTGGTCCTCAGCCCCAAGGTGGCTTCAGACTCTCTAGCGGGGTGAGAAAAACAGCCCCACACCAGACTCAGCGGCCGAGGGACACTCTCTGGAGGGGCTCATTCCCTGTCTAGAAGGTGGGGGTTCCCTTGGTCTTCTGTTATTGTGTCAGACTGTAAAGTAAAGGCACTCAGGAAGCCCAGGGGGTCCCCAGCCCAGTGGCTCCTCCAGGGTCTGCGTTCAGGGCACCAGAACAAGGCTGCGGCAGGTGCCTTGGTGGATTAGATCCCCTGGCTCTTGATTGAACTGCGGGTGTGCGTGTGTCTGTGTGTGAGCGTGCATGTGTTTATGCTACTGACTAGACTCAGAGCAAAAGTCCAAATGAGGGAAAGCAACGGAAAATTTCTCAAGTGCACCTAGGTCCTTCCCTCGCCCCACAGACACCTCCACAGGCTGACGGCCCTGCACGGCCGGGCACTGGGGTGCAGAGCTCCGGCTGCTTGCCGAGGGGCCAGCCCCAGGGGCTGACCCAGTCTGGCCCCTGGGAGCCTATGGAGAGGAGAGCCTGTCTGGACCCTCAGGGCCCCACATCACCCATGTGGCTGACTCACTGGGCCGGGAGGAGGAGGGCCAGGGCAGCGTGGACTGGTGCTGGTGCGGGCTCTAGGAGCTGCATGCGTGTGCGTGCACATGATGTGAGCATGCCCCGGGCGTCCTTCGGCCTCGCTCCTGCCACCTGCAGCCGGGGTCTGGTGGTCCTGCCCCCAGACCAGTTCAGACCCCGAATGTATACCTAGGGATGGGGAGGTGCACAGAGAAAGCCCCTTGTACCCCTCCTCCCACGGGAGGGCTGGTGGCTTCCTCTCCATGGTGTAGGGAGGGGGCCTATAGTCGAGAGAGTGAGAGCACAGTTGAGAGAACAGTTTGGTTGCAAGTTTTCAACTTGTTTAGAACCAGGAAATGATGGCTTGGCTGAGACCCAGTATCATGGTACCCGAGTCTCACGTGAGAGTGAAATGTTTCATCACACACAACACTGTATGTGACAAAACATGACACCCACCCCCGTGTGTACATGTCTGTGTGTGACAACACAAGTGGTCCCTCCCGGTCTTCGTCTGTGTGTACATGTGTGGGTATGACAACATAAGCGGTCCGACCAGGTCCTCGCCCGTGTGTACACATGTATGTGCAACACAGGCAGTCCCTCCAGGTCCTCACCTGTGTGTACATGTGTGTGTGTGTGACAGCACAGGCGGTCCCTCCAGGTCCTCGCCTGTGTGTACATGTGTTTGTGTGACAGCACAGGCGGTCCCTCCAGGTCCTCGCCTGTGTGTACATGTGTGTGTGTGACAGCACAGGCGGTCCCTCCCAGTCCTCACCCATGTGTACATGTGTGTGTGTGACAGCACAGGCGGTCCCTCCCAGTCCTCACCCATGTGTACATGTGTGTGTGTGACAGCACGGGCAGTCCTTCCAGGTCCTCACCTGTGTGTACATGTGTGTGTGTGACAGCACAGGCGGTCCCTCCAGGTCCTCACCTGTGTGTACATGTGTGTGTGTGACAGCACAGGCGGTCCCTCCAGGTTCTCGCCTGTGTGTACATGTGTGTGTGTGACAGCACAGGCGGTCCCTCCCAGTCCTCACCCATGTGTACATGTGTGTGTGTGACAGCACGGGCAGTCCCTCCAAGTCCTTGCCTGTGTGTGCATGTGTGTATGTGACAGCACAGGCAGTCCCTCCCAGTCCTCACCCATGTGTACATGTGTGTGTGTGTGTGACAGCACGGGCAGTCCCTCCAGGTCCTCGCCTGTGTGTACATGTGTGTGTGTGACAGCACAGGCGGTCCCTCCAAGTCCTTGCTCATGTGTACATGTCTGTGTGTGACAACACAGGTGGTCCCTCCAGGTCCTTGCCTGTGTGTACATGTGTGTGTGTGACAGCACAGGCGGTCCCTCCCAGTCCTCACCCATGTGTACATGTGTGTGTGTGACAGCACGGGCAGTCCCTCCAGGTCCTCGCCTGTGTGTACATGTGTGTGTGTGACAGCACAGGCAGTCCCTCCAGGTCCTTGCCTGTGTGTACATGTGTGTGTGTGACAGCACAGGCGGTCCCTCCCAGTCCTCACCCATGTGTACATGTGTTTGTGTGACAGCACAGGCGGTCCCTCCAAGTCCTTGCTCATGTGTACATGTCTGTGTGTGACAACACAGGTGGTCCCTCCAGGTCCTTGCCTGTGTGTACATGTGTGTGTGTGACAGCACAGGCAGTCCCTCCAGGTCCTTCTGGGGCGGCAGCACCTGGGTGATGCCTGGGGATGTGGTGTCAGGTGTCCTGCAGGCAGTTTAACTCCACCTCCATGTGCTCCACTGCAGCCCCTGGACGAGTGGGATGCCTGTCCTGGGAGGGAGGCACTCTGACAGCCTCAGACTCTGATTACAGGCCCCCCAGGGGCTTTGACGGCCACCAGCAGCCCCACTCAGCTCTCCCCAGTATCCCGCCTGTGGGTCTCCTGTGGGTGGCATGGTCTGAACAGCTGTGATCCATGCTTCCAGTTTCAAAAGAAAGGAAAAAATTCTCAGCCATTGTCACATCTGCGTGAGGTGTCTGACTTTCTGAATAATACACTGGGTCAAAGGAGAAATCACAAGAAAATTAGAAATCAAAGTCAAGTGAATAGAAATGAAATGCAACATTTCAACAAGTATGGGATGAAGTTAAAGTAGTTTTAGAAGAAAATTTCTGTACCACATGCCTATGTCTGAAAAGAGAAAAATCAGAATCAATGACGCAATCTCAACCAGAAGAGGCTGGAAAAATTGAGTAAATTTATCTTGAACTGAGTAGAAGGAAGAAAACAATAAAGCCAATATATTGATTATGTTTAGAAAACAAGTAAACGGTAAAGTCAGAAATAGACAAAGAAGTTAAAAAAATCAATGAGCACAAAGGCTGGTTGTTTGAAAAAGTCACACAAGTCGATGCACTTGCGGTGGAATAACTAAGGCAGAACTTGTTAATTTCATCCTAATTGCAAACTTCCTGCCTTCTTCTTGTGGCTTCTTTGTCTTTGGCTGTGGGGTATCTTTTCCGGTAGGTTTCAGTGATTTTTGTCAACGGCTGTTCAGCAGTTAGTTGTGATTTTGGTGCTTTCACGGAGGCAGTGAGCTCATGTCCTTCTGTATCACCATCTTGGCTCCATCCTCCCAAACTCGCTGTGAGGAGGGGCCCTGGGGGACTGCAGTGTCTCTGAAGGGCACGATGGAAACTAGACTCAGCTACCACTGTAGGAAGTTTCTCCTGCTGCCACAGAGAGACGAGAGGGTTACCTGCAATTACTCTGTCCTGAAGGACCTGCATGTCATTGGCCTAATTTGCCTTCCTCAGATGATGGTAGCTTGTTGTTAGCACAAAGGCCACCTTCAGAATCTTCCCCTCCCTTAGGTGCTGCTCCCAGGCCCCTCCCATAGGTGCTGCCGTCATCCACCCATCCTTCCATCTGTCCTTCCATCCGTCTATCCATCTCTCCACCCATCTATCCTTCCACCCATCTATCCTTCCACCTATCTGTCCATCCATCCATTCATCCATCCATCCACTCTTCCTTCCGTCCATCCTTCCATCCATCCATCTCTCCATAGTTCCATCTCTCCACCCATCCATCCATCCATCTATCTTTCCACTCATCCATCCTTCCACCTATCCATCCTTTCATCCATCCGTCTGTCCATCTATCTATTCTTCCTTCTGTCCATCCTTCCTTCCTGCCTTCTGCCTACCCATCCATCCATTCTTCCATCTGTCCATCCTTCCATCCATCTCACCACCCATCTATCCACCCATCTATCCTTCCACCTATCTGTCCATCCTTCCATCCATCTGTCTATCCATCCATCCATCCTTCCTTCCTTCATCTATCTGTCCATCCATCCATTCTTTCTTCTGTCCATCCATCCATCATCCCATTTGTGGATCCATCCATCTCTCCATCTAGCAATTATGATTATTTACATGCCCTTTTTGGTCATAAGTGACTGACATTCCTGGTTAAGTACTGGGTGATAAGAATGGATGATTGATCTAACATGCTTACTATGGATAACTCCCTTCAAAGAGCAGATATTGAAAAGTTCTTAAAAACAAAATCACCTCAGCAGTTTGGCCAAAGATAACAGACAAATGTGCTAGCTTTGGGGGAAATTATACCCCCCTCCGAGTGCCAGAGCAAGCATGGAGTAATGCACAGATGAGGTGGAAAATGTGATTAGAGTGGAAAATACCTCCTTCTGGAGGAGGCTGCAGCTTCTCGCCCCCTGCCCCCTCGCATTTCTTTTTTTTTTTTTTTTAAATTTTCCAAGGTGATTTGTATTTTTACTCTAGGGAGTACAAACCACTATGGAAAGTATTGACAAATGCACTACATTAAAATTAAGCACTTGTGTTCATACCCTGCCCCCATCAAAAAGAACTAAAAAAGGTATTCAAAAGCAATATCACGTGTAAAAGGAAATACACAGGCATACGAATCTCCACGTGTCTCATAGGAGGCTTGAACCTGGGATACGGCTCTGTTGTTCAGTCAGTAGGTCACGTCTGACCCTTTGTGACCCCATGAACAGCAACATGCAGGCCAGGCTCCTCTGTCCTTCACTGTCTCCTGAAGTTTGCTCAAGTGTGTGTCCATTTAGTCTCACCACTGCATTTCTATGAAGTTCTGGCCAGTTAGTGCCCAGGCCAGCCCCTGCCCTGGGACTGGTCTGGTCCATGGCATGGTGGACTTGCAGCTGAGCCTCCATGAGTGCCGAGGCCACATTCATCTCTGTTCAAAGCCCAGCTGTCATGGGTGGTGCCTTTCAGTGAGGAAAAGGGGTCTCTGTATGGCTGGAGATAGTCCTTTCAAGAAAACTTCCATTACTGTGATAAACAGCAACTGAAGCTGCCTTTTACACATATTCCTGTTCTCAGAATGTGTCCTTGTCTTTTCCATCTTATTAGCCATGAATGAGAACACTCTATAGTCTAGGATGAGCAAAGTGAAGCAACAGAAACAAAAAAGTGAAAGAATTACAAAAACCAAGATCAAAGGCAGTCTGGAATTTCCAAGCTTATATATATTTTTTCTTTTTTATTTCTTGCTGCAGGAAGCTGTGAAGCACATAAAAATCCACAGGAAGTTGGGAAGATTTCTCATTACCAGTCCAGTAGCAATGTTGGTGCTTTTTAAAAAGCTGCCATAAGCTGACACATATACAAGAAGGCTCACACCGTAACATGCACTGAGTGGGCGGGCCAGCCTGGAGTGAAATGATCCCACAGCAGGAAGGTCCCAGACTCTCCCAGGAAGCTCTCTCATGGTGGGAGCTTCTGGTAACTTCGGGCTGGGACCCCTACACCCCAGCTGTGCAAGCGACTCTCCAGTGATGACGTCCAAAGATAAATGGAGTGTCCAGGTGTCCACATCGTCAGTCTGAACCTCCCTCTGGGGTGGCTGATCCTGAGGAGTCCTCAGAGGACCCAACCCTCCCTAGATGCCTGCTGTGCCCTTGGCAGGCCAGTGGCCCACGTGGCCTACGACCCAGCTGAGAACTGCCCCCCAGCCTCTGGGCTGTGCCTGCTGGGTCCTCTGGGTCCTGGCCGTAGGCAGGCGTGCAGAGTGGGAGAGAGGAGGGGCCCCAGGCAGGCAGACCCTCCTTCTCAGGGTCCCCGTGCCGCCCCTGGTCTTCAGGACTGAGGGTGGGTGTGCGGGGGGCCCCAGGAGGCTGCTGTCCCCTGTGCCCCATCCTGACCCGCCCG